AACATGGGAAAAGCACTAGTAGTATATGTTATTATTACTATTATTATAAGTATTTCAGACAACATCAAGCTGTAATGATGCTGACAAGACAGACCAAACATTGACACATACCAAAGTCGGTCAGCAGGTTTGCCTTAATTGCTTCTATAAAGCATTGGCAGGTGACAAGAATTGTTTTAAAGAGGCAAGGCCATTTAGTTGGAAGGAGAGTAATGAGTGTGATTATGACTAGTTTTAAGTATTAGGACAAGTGTTCTAAACTTTGTGCACACAACCTTTAGGTTTGTAGCCAACAGAAGCGTATGTGAAGGACTTTTTACTTAGTGGGAATTAGATCAGTAATCTGCTTTTTGTACAGACAATCAACTGCAAATTAACTGTTGAGGGAAAATTTGAAGCCATCAAGAGGATCACAAAGTGGAAATGAGATTATCACACATAAAAATGGCTGATGATTCTTTCCTTTCAGAAATTTGTAAACAAAAATAAAAATTTATAGTCTGTGTGTGTGTGTGTGGGGGGGTTCTAAATGTCCTAGCACCTGTTGATAACATTCCAGAAACTATAGCCTTAATCTTCCTATATATGATTTATCTGCATATGGAATAAGGCAAGATATATATTGATCATTTTTATAAAATGAGACCATAATTTTTGAGATCAAATATATTTTAGATCAAAGACTCTTGAAACTTGTTATTTGAATATTAGTAAAGCTACTTATAAAAGGAGATAAACCATAAAATACATTTTCTGAGTGAGCCAACCTTGGCACATGGCTACATTTATAGAGCACTCAGTGAGGAATGAACTGCTGAGAAAATAGCACCCTAACTCTTGATATATAGCAGGTGATCATTCAAGTACTTGTAAAAATCACCGAAACTTGGTAGTATAAATGAATATAATTATTATGTAATAATTTTGATGTCAAGAATCCAATGTAATAATTTTGACTTAAAGAATGCAATTTTAATCAAGAGAGAGAAATTTATTAAGATAAAAAAAAAAAAAAATCGAAAGTGCATTTATTTTGTAATTTTTAGGCACACGGTGGTGTAATGGATAGTGGTCTGGATTGAGGAATCAAAGAGCCAAGTTCGAATTCCAGTCGAATTCATTACATTCACTTACAAGCTAATACCTTTGGGGAAGGTATGAATCCTCTTCTTCTCCCTCCAGCTATGGGTAAATAGCAGGACAGACTGGGTTCTATAGTCTTGGATGGCAACTGGTCTACTGCAGAAAGAAATGGAAACCTACTACAGGAAAAAATCTACCTTGTCAGTCATGTATCAAAAGATACATGATCGCTTAAGTGTGTATCACACATAGCACATAACTGACTGATGATATGTCCTGAATTGTAAAAAAATTTCTACATTCACTACAAAACTTTTGCTGATACAATATGGGATACTTACAAAGAAAATAAAACTAAAAAGTGATAAAAAGTTGAATGAGTTTTGGCTAATATCAGAATTTAAATTTAAAGTTAAGCATCCTTGTATCATTAATATTTTTTATGGAAAACTCTAACAGGTAATACTTGTGGCATTTCTGTCCAACTTAGATCCATTTTTAAAGGGATTTCTTATTCAACATTATTTCTTATTACTACAAACGTTATTTTTAGTGGTTATCTTTGAGTGGCTATCACTGTTTTTTTTTATTTTCTTAAACATTCAAATTAATAACAACTGGCCTAGATTGAGAAGCCCTACTAAAGAAATATTATGTCTCTGGCAAGAATAAAACCTGAATCCCTTTAATAGGGATAACAACTTAGACACATGTACTCACTAAAAATAATGTTTATACGGATAAAAAAATTATATATATATATATATATATATTTTTTTTTTTTTTTAATATCAAAATCTGCTACTTAAAGTTTCATGTGATAATAAGCATTAGGTGGAAATAAATAATCATCAGAGAGGAAATATATATATATATATATATATATTATATATATATATATATAAGCTGACTCCATCAAACCACTATTAGTTTGAAGAAGTTCAGGACAAAGCATATCACTTAGGAACTTTTCCATTTTATCATTTGATTGTCAATTATAAAATAATATGCTTGTATCATAATTTTTAAAACAAATGAAAATGTCATTCGAAAGCCCAGGCTTGCAGATAATCAACATTGTATTTACAAACTGTAGCTCAATTATATTTCAGTGTTTATTTTCATCATTATCAGAATAAGTGTATATGAAAGTGCTTTATGCTTGCTGTCTGTATAAAAAAAATAATCAATAGAAAAATAACTATGTCAGCCTTCATCTTTTCCTTTATCATTTTAGGATTGTTTTTGTCCAACATTCTGTCCATTCCTCTCTTACACATGCATTTCTTAGGCTCTGTAATTTTCATAATTGTAAGTGAAAGCAAACAATTTGAAGCTTGTCAAGTTAAGTGAATATGAAATTGTTTAATAAGTAGGATATAAAGTACATTCTAAAATGTCTTGCCTTGCAAAATTAATGTATATAGATAAAAAAAAACTGTTAGAATCACAATTCAGATCAAATCCTTGATAATTACGTGGAGAAAAAAAAGAACAACCTTCAATTAACTCATTTTATCATTGGATAATGGTTTACATTGCAGGCTTGTTATAATGTCAGTATATCAAATGCAATGTCTACACTTATATCTTAAACATTACCTGTAACCATAGGAAGACTAAGATATATTTTAGTGAATGTCTGTGCTTTGATTTCTTGAATGCCAAGTAAAACTTCTTGGAATTACAAAAGAGGGCTGCACAGTTCTTGGTTGAACTGAAATTCCAAAGTAAATTCTGAGGCTTTGTTTATTTGGTCAGATTTTGGGAACTGTGTTATGTCAAGAATTTTTCAGCACTCCTTCATAGATATATAAGAGTAATCTAAATCCCAGTTTTGGTGTTTAAGCAATTTTTATGACTTGGATAAAAAAAAATATTGCCAATGTGCCCCCACTAAAAAGAAATTACTATTACTTTAAGCTACCTTGACTGTGCCCTCTAGCCTTCATCAGTTGCTTGTTGATATGAGTATTTTGAATAGAACCCTTTATCTAATCTATGGGGGTAGATTGTTCTTGTTCTGTTGACTATATTTAGGGATATTTCATCTAGTTCTTATTTAGTACTGTTCACTTATTGTTCATACCATTTCCACAGAGTCCAAGTACACACTGCCTGCTCACAATTAGTATGTCAGCAAATTAACGGACCAGAACTTTAATCCACTAGGAACAATCCTGAATTGAGAACTACTAATACTGTGATGATCACTGTTAAAATGATCACCATCATTAATGTGGTGAGTATTATTATAAATTCTATTATAACAATAGTTGCTATAATTATTTAAACACTTTTTCATCTTTTTATTATTATTATTATTATTATTATTATTATTCATTTATCTTCAGAATCCTTTGTTCCAGTCAGGTGTCTTAGTTAACTTTTATTTCACTCAGGTATGAAATTTCCCTCAAAGTAGAAAAGCTGGCATGAAATTTGGATTTCGCCTTCAAAGAAACCGAAATGTAAAAGACTTGAATGTATTGCACTGAGATTTGAATCTCTTTGCATCTCTTCTTGGAAACTCCTTATTGGTGGGGACATGGATTTTTCAGCATAACCTCATAATAATTGTAGTGGATTGGTAAATAGTATTGTACCTATTTGCATTTATTAAGTAGAAGAGATATAAAGAATATAGTAAACTAAGAGAGAGGCAAGAAGTTGATTACTGATCACGTGTTATCGAAGAACACAATACAACAATAATGATACAATTTCTGTGTGCTTGTAACAAATGCACAATATTGTGTAATTATTGTTAAGGTAGCACTGTTAAATAAGCTTATTGGTTTCAAAATAATTTTTCATTAATTAGTTAAGTAAAACTTTACAAAAAAAGAAAATGAAGATAACTCCAGGTCTAATAACTTATTTACAGTACTTTTTCTTTTGGTCTCTTTTCTTCATCAGCCATTGTAGTATACCACTTATGATACTTTAATATAAATAATTAAGCTTAATGTTAATTAGTATTTGAAAATAATTATAAATTCTATAAATAGAAAGTGGCCTGACATTGAGCAGAGGCTGTCAAGAGCAGCATTTAGACAATTCTATCAAAAAGAAGAGTCATGCTGCCAACAGAGATTCTTCATTGACCAAATAATTTCATTCATTTATTCATTCCACATGAAAATTATCTTTTCATTGGTATGATATTTAATAAAAATTCTGTGTTATCTTCAAGTTAATCAAATTGCACTCTCATAAAAAAATTTTTTAAATATTAAATTATGTATTATGTGATAAGAATGCATCTTGAGGTTCAGTTTTGCATCATGTTATTGAATAGTTTTCAAATCTCGCATAATATATGCATCACTTTCAAATCTTGTATAATATGTGCATCAGTTTGTCATGCATCTTTTCTCCCTACTGCCCATCCCAAATATTGTTCCATCATGAATCAGCTTGTGAAGATGTGTTGTGTCTATTTTTATATTTTTTATTTATTTCAGGATTTATTGTTGTTTTTAAATTGATTAAACTTTTTTAATATTTTCAAAATATTATTAAAGACATTTTTATGTTTTTATATTGTTTATATCTTACTCCTTAGAAATACATTTTTTGGGAAAATTATTTTAATTTGATAAAAGATCTGAACATGAATTGTTTGCTTGATTCATTTTTTACAGCATATCAAATCTTTTGGAAGTTAATTAAAACCAGAAAATATTTATAGATTGTAAGAGTTTTTTGTGGGGGAATGGAGAGTAGATAATAATAGTTTAGTGATACAAGTCTTATTAATTAACCCATAGCTTGGGGGAGAAGAGATGGATTCATAAGTTTTCCAAGAGTATTTGCATGTAAGTGAATATAATGAACCAGAGTGGAATTGGAACTTGGCTCTCCAATTAACAATTGCAAGTCATTATCCATTACACCACTTGCACATCTAAATTTACAGCATCTGGTATTCTCAGTGGTCACCCATCTAGGTACTAACCAGGCTTGACATTGCTTAACTTTGGTGATTGTATGTGAACCAATGTTTCAATGTGATATGGCCATAAGCCTTTTGGACAAGAAAAGGCTTGCTAATTGAGCCAACTATAAATAAAGTGAAACTGCTGAAGATAATGTTTTACTTTCCATGCATTTGTGTGTGTGTGTGTGCGCAGTGTAAGAGTTCTAATACCCTTAGAAAAGGCATGAAGCCACCTTCCTCAGTCTATAGGTAAAATAGCAGAGCAAACTTAACTCTATAGCTTTAGTTGGCAACCAGGAAGAAAACTCTGAATTCAAATCTGAGGAAGGCTGTTTGGAGATTTTGTGGCACACTGCACTGTTTCTCTGTTATCAGTTCTTCCAAAAAGCAACACTGGTACTACACAAGCCTTCATCGCTATCATTTAATCATCTGTGTGGAGAGTCTAACAGTTCAGTTCTAAACCGAATTGTTGGGCCCTCATGTCAAAATCAATGAACGAGTCAACCATATAAATGCTGTCTCCTCTCAAGTTGGAATTTTTACAGTTATTACTGTATAGACAATTATGGAAGAGTGGTTTTGCAAAATGCTTACTCACTTCAACATTAACTATCCAGGCATGTTGTCAAATGTAAAATATTTTTGTCAAGGTACCTGGCAACAAGACAAAGCACAGGAAGAATTGGGTTGATACTTTTCCCTAGGGTATTAGTATGAAGATATTGCAAGCAGCCTCTGCCAAAATTCTGAGTTTGCTGATTCTAGTTGCCATGCTGATAAACATTATACTGCCTTGCACCAATCTCTCTCATATGTGTACACATGCGGAGCACACACACACACACACACACACACACACACATATGGTCTGTTCAGAAAGTATCTAGTCATTTAATATGAACAAAAAAGAAACCTTCCTAGTGCAACAATGCCTTAGTCCACTTCAAATTATCCCTTTAAACATTCATGTAATTATCCCAGTATCTTTCCCACTTTTCACAACAGTTTCACAACAGGAACACCATCAGCTGCTTTCTATGATGGCTTTTAGCTTTTGAAGAAGCCAGGAGTTGCAGGAATCCAAATCAACAGGATGGCGGACAGACCTTGTTTTTTTGATTTTTTGCCAAAATAATCTTGTATGAAATTTGGAGCATCTACTCTCACTAAAAGATTGTGAATGTAATGGTCACACAGGACACAATCTCACTGCTGAATGTGTAACAGATGTGAATAGAGTTCTCCCCCTGATTGGTTGCCAGTTTATATCAAGGCCAAGCAACAGGTCCTCAAGATATTTAAAATGACTTAATACATCCTAGGACAGACTGTGTGTGTATTTACTAAGTATAGATTAGTCTAGCACAAGAACATATATGTAAGATATTCAGTGAGGGACAAATTCATTATTGGTAGCTGTGAGACTAACCTGTTAACCATTGTTTCATGGCGAGGTTATCTATATGCTTGATGCAAACAAATTGGTAGCAACTAAAAAATAATTAAGAGCAAATGAAATAAAAATATATAAATACAGGAAAACAGAAGTTTTCATTTTTTTTCCAGAAACAATTATTCATGTATAGTAAGTGGGTTTTTTTCTTTGTATTACAATGATAAACAGGTCACTAACTTAATTAGATTATTTACAAATAGACTAATATTCTCATCTTTGTTTATTATCATAATGTTTCAGTCATTGTGCCCTTCTGTTTTCAGGTGTGCCTCAATCTGGGTAACCAGGGAATTTTGAACTAAACCTTTTATTTAATCTACCGGGATTGACTTATCATTCTGCTGTCAATATCTATGGATATATCATCTTGTTCTTTTTTTTTTTAGTATGGCTCAGTTGTTGCTAATATAGTTTCCAATGAGTCTGAACTACCCAGGCTGAGGATTGAACTCACAATTACTATGCTACCAAATTCACAAACCAGAACTTTAATCCTCTAGGCTACCATGAAACAATCCTGAATCTAAAATGGTATTCATTTAATAAAGAAATGGTTTAGTTCTAAATTTCCTGAAGTTTAACCAAATCAACAGACATTTGAAGGGAACAAGAGCTTAAATGTGATAATAAAAACAAAGATGAGCATATATTATTGCAAATAATGTAAGTAATGATAACTCCTCCCTCATCTCAGAAATTCAGACAGAGATCCCTGGTGTAATGCTAAACAAATTGTTTTATGTATATATATATATATATATATATATATATATATATATACACATATATATATATATATATATATATATATATATAATATTATATAAATATGGGAATAAACATATAGAAAATATGTTTTTTTGTTTTCATGGATTTATAAAACTGATCTATTTAATGAATAAAGAATGAACAGACATTTTGTATCGCAAATGGTCATTTTTTTATGTGAATGAAGAACTGAAAAAGAGAAAATGGTACATTAAGAAAAAAAAGTTACAATTTTTTTTTTTTTGCAAGGGAATAAATACCAGGTTTTTTATGAGTGTTGCAAAATAAAATTGCCTTTTTGTGCTGGTGAAGGAGAAGAATTTTATAAGTTTGCTGGGTTTGGAAGAATGTTGTAAATTTAATAGGAAAATTAAAAAAAAAATTGTGGTAAAAAATATTGCCTATTTTTCAGACTATTCATTTCAATTGTATTTTTTAATATGTGGAATTACAAATATATTTCCTTTCAGAAAAAAAATAATGTCACCATTTGGCAATAGAGAATAAGTTAGATTTTTTATTTTTATTCAGAAGAAAAAAAATTTTTTTGTTTATCAATGTTACAGCACATTTTCGTGAATAAAAATTATTTTGAAAAGTAAAGCAGTAAAACTATTTTTAATAAGATTTTATTTTTATTATTATTTTTTTAATACCATGTCCCTTCAGGACATGGGCGAACATGCTTCTCCTCAATTTCCTTTTCTTTATTATGTGTGAATTGCCATGATTTCTTGGGAAAGTATAATGGAGAGATTTCCCTTTTGCCTTCAGAGTTTTCCTTCTCCTAAACTGATTGCCACTAAAGGCTAGAGATCCCAGTTTGCACTGCTATTTAACCTAAAGCTAGGAGTGGGGATAAATGGATTAATACCTTCCCCAAGTAGGAATTGAACTCAGTTCACCAATTCAATTTCTGCACATAGAACATCTTGAAGGTTTTAATTATGACTGCTTAATGCAAAGTCATTTACGCCATACTTGACATATATCTGTAAATATTCAAAATAAAGTGTATCTGGAATGGATTTCCTACATAATTAAATACCTTACAATCACAGGCTTGTGTCTCCAGAGTATTTTGAATGTATGGGGATGGCCTTTTAAGTCAGGGTGGGGTGTGAGTTAAGTATTTGTACACTAAAATCAGTTCATATCATTTTCATAGTAAGGAGGCAAAATAATCCCTCCATTTTGATGATGGGTCTACTTAAAACAAAGTTCTAATAAGAAAAATAAGCTGTAATAAATTTTCCAAGTTATTAAATGAAATTTGATAAAAATGAAAAAATTCATCAGCTTAAATTTTTTCAAAAAGAACAAAGCAAAGTTAGATGATTAAATTTTAATGAAACAATCATTTTTATTGATATTTTTAAGAGAAGAAAAAAATTAAAGTGGTGTTCAATTTCTTTTTTTTGATTGAGAGCATATAGGAAAACAATGTTAGGAGCTAATTTACATTATCTTTTTATATACCTATATTTCATAATTCTGACTAAGTATAAAAAAAAAGAAGAAAAACCTCATGATTGTTGATACGTTGCATAATTTAGAATCCAGCTATGTCAAAGATATTCATAGGCCCTATTGCAAAATATGCTGAAAGGCAACATGCATTATCAAGATAGAGGAAAAACATTCTTATTTAAAGTTGGCTGAAGCAGAAGCAGCTTTTATAGTAAGAATATCTCTAAAAACTTCATTGCTTAAAAAAATAAATAAAAGTGGAAAGATGAGGATATTAATTTATTTTTAATATAAAATTTCCTTAATAACCAGTGTCACAGCATTAATTTCACCCGTGCCATTTACCAGCATATATTTTTGGTCAACATTTACTTTTGAGAGGTTTATTTTAATAGGAGTAGATAAGCTTGCCTAATGTCCTGTTCACACTTCACCCCCAGTCTTTTATGCATGAGTAGAAGTTTATCTCTTTTTCCCTGTTTAAGATTGGGTTTCCACCTTTTCTTTCCCACTCAGTAACCCCTTGTGTCTTAGTGACATTATTACTTTGCTTGGGGTGAACTGATTTTATAACTAAATTTATACATTAAAAATATACAATATTTTTCTTATAATTTTATTCTCTAAGCCCAAATTGTCCCTAGCAAAATACTGGAATATTATAAATTTGCTTACATTATATAGTTCAAACATTTGCTTTGAAGGTCAGTATATTTTTTAACAGCACATATCTGAAGTGTCTGCTTGATGGCTGAAAAAATTGCACATTTCTTCTACTAAAAGTTGGTTTCTGAGCCCAAGTAAAAATCAGAATTTTAAATGTTCATTTTTAAAGCAGATGGGCTTTTCTCAATTTGGAGTTTACTGGTACATTATATTCTTATCCATTCATTTCAATTAACTTGAGCCCCTGAGTTAGACTTAGCTAAGCTTAGTAATTGTTTCAGGCATTGTTTTGCATTATTAATGTTTAATTTATTTATAGTAATCAATTCTGCTAAATTATTGAATAATAATAAAAAACAAAGCATTTGATAAGTGCTGGAGACAAAGTTATGTGAAGAGACTCAGGAGATGTGGATTGGTTTTTACATCATAAATTTAAGACATGGGTTAAAAAAAATGGCAATGTAAGCAAAAGATAAAAAAAAATTAAGCATATCTAGAGGCTTCGGTTGGTCGAATGAAAAACAAGCTTCAATTACAACAAAATTGCAGAAGGAAAGGATGAAATATCTGGAGAAAGCTGCTTTACTTTGTGAGCAAAAGTTAAGAGAGAAAGATCACCTTTCCAGATATAGTCAGCAAATCGTCGTTTTAATGAAAGTGAACGAATAACCATAGTTTTCTCATCCTTTTTAGAATTGGACACTGAAAGAAAAGTACAA